TGTTAAAATGCAAATCTAACTTTAATACAAAAAATCTACTGAAAATCTTGTTTTGCATTTGTAAAGTTATACTTTTCCTACAATGTATTTCCAATAGATTACTCCTCTCACAATAGCTTTTCTTGTTCAGTGCTGCCCTCTATATGCACAATTTTTACTTAGCACTAGCCTTGATACTCCCACCTACTCTCACATAAGCATGTGACAACCCTCACCAATAGGAGTGCAACACACCCTTCAGATACAGCTGGCTCCCTCTATACTGTAGAGTCCAATCTTCACTGGAAGTGGGGAAAATGGTTGGAGGTCAGTATCTATCAGAAATACATTTTCAGTGTAGGAAAATTATCACTTCCGGTACGATACCTTACCTCCTCTCACATAACAGTTAGAATCCCACACTGAAATGGCAGATGGACTAGTGTAAAATTTACCTAGATGAGCACCCATCAGAAAGCATTTGAAGAGAGCCCGTAGAGTGTGAAACTTCAATGTAGAGAGATACACCCATGGGAGACAGCACCACATCAGTACTAGGTATACTTTTTGCCCGTTACGAATATGTGTTGCTAAATTGGGCAGAAAGGACGTACATCAAATGCATAATTGGATGCACCAAGTAGTGTAAAGTGGACAGGGCACATCAGACCACATTTGGTGGGTCAACTCCAGTCCAAAACCAGGTAGAATTGAATATTTATTGTCCAGTCCAAGGTAGGAGGAGGGTCCTTACCATTTTCACCTCAAGATTAGAAAGCAGAAGGGAAAATGGCTCTGGTGAGAGGACACCTGGGTATTGGGAGACAAGGAAGATTAAGCCAACCAAACAAGTTGGTGAATCCAACCCTTAAGCGTCACAGGGAAATGTCTCGGGTAGCAAAAGGGTTCCAATGAAGAAACAGGCAGGAACCATGGAAAGAAGCCATGCAAGTAACATAGTACCAGAAAGCACAAACAGGACAGAAAAAACAAACCAGAATTGGAGAGGGAATACATATAGGAAATGGAAGGAAGTTGTTAGATATACATGACTGTTTCATTTAAATTTAATACAAGAGTTATGATTTAGACAGTTATAAAGGGCGAGTATTAAATTTAGCATTTTTAGAAGCAATAATTTATCCCACGTTTGTTTACATAACTGTGTACAAATCATATGTTGTGTAGTTCACTAGTCAGTGATTGTTATATTGTTGCATTATGTTACTAGAACCTTCCGAGTTTTTCTCGTTGTTTTACTGAACATTGTTACATCATAAGGTCTCATGGTTAGACTGCATGATTATGAGTTTAGCCATAAAGAGCATATATTGGAAATTTCTAAAGTGAAAGTATCACAACTTGTACTGTAATAACAGAGACAGAAGAGAATAATTTATGTTGTTAAAGGCTGTTCTAAAGTGATTGAATGCTGCCTGTGTGGACTTGATGACTTAAAGCTCTGGATACAACTGTGGTAACCAACAGTTATAGTGGTGACTTTAAAGTGAGTATCACAGCCTTGTATTGTAATAACAGAGTAGAGGAGAATAATTTTCTTGTCAAAGGATCTTCTAAAGTAATTGCACTCAACAGTGTGAACTTTGATGAAAAAGAAAATTATCTAAAGCTCTGGATACAACTGTGATAACCAACATTGTAAGGAATTTTTGTACATACATTTGACATTTAAATATTATTTTAAAACAAGTGGATTGTGTGCTGTCTATTTATTGTTGAAATTTATCGCCAACAAGTCACAGACACCTACTGCAAAGAACTGCAGTCCTATAAAATCTGACAGGAGTGAAATAGGTGTTAATGTGATGCCACCTCTATAAGCTACTGATGTCTTTGGAGAAAACTACGATTTGAATAAAGGAGAACATAGGTACAGTGGCAAAGGATATGGGAAATGTTGATGGCAAAGATAAATGACCAACAATGACCACAGGAAAATAGGAGCCAAAAATAGGTATTCAAGGACAGATAGTATAAGAAACAGGTAGCCTAGGATTTAAAGAGGTTGGGTAAGGGCAGGGAGAACCACACTGAGGTCCCAATCAGGAATGGGCAAAGGATGAGATGAACAAATGAGACAAGAAGGATGGGACAGGAGAGGAAAAAAACACTACAGGAATAGGAAAAACAGAAGGTAATGGATAAGGGTGCATGATAACCAGCAATGGGAGACACAGTTGAATCATTGTTGAACAGCCACGTAAAAAATTCTGAACACTTGAGTGAGAAGGAAGGTAACAATGTTGCAGAGAACAATTGCAGAAAACATGCCATTTTCTCTGATAAAAACCATTAAGGACGAAGGACAGACCAAATGGGAAAGATTGGGTGCTATACATATGGAGAGTTCAGACCACCTAGCAAGGGACTGGACAAATGCAATGTGTCAAGCCAGAGTTGGGAGTGGGAAAGTGGAAATAGTAACTGAGGGGGATGACTGAATGAGGGTAAGGACTGGAAACTGCAGTTGAATAGATCAGAAAGGAGCAATAAGAAGGACTCAACATGAGTGGTTTGGAAACGGGATAAAACTCTGTGAAGGAGGCAGATAGGAGGATAGACAGAAATGTAAGGGTTGGATCAATTCTGACTGAAGGCATCTACCACCAAAACCAAAGGATATGGAACCAGGGACCAGCAGAGGGGTTTGTGAATTGAGGTGGAAAGCAAATGCATCCAGAAGTGGAATACCCCACTAGACACACAATCACTGAAAAACCTGGGGATCTAGGAACTACTTCATGGGGAGAATCTTGTCAGGATGAGAAAAGCGAACTGCAACAAGATTCAGAGCACCGGGACATGACATGTCAGTAGGTGTGTGTGATAAGAATTAGTCTATAAGAGGAGTTCCAACATTTGAAAACAAAGCTAATGTGAACAGGTGCCCCATTGGCAGTCGATGTAAGACACAATGGTCAAATAGGCAGAATGGATCATGACCAACTTGCACTGTATTAAAAAATAGAAAATGATTCAAAGCTCAACAAACAGCAAGTAATCCATTAGATTGAGGTATAGAGCTGATTCAACTAAAGACCAATGATCTGTGTTCTTCTGGGAATCCATAATTGTCCCCCAACCCATCAAAAAAGCATCTGTAAAATGATGGCTCAGGATAGGGAGGTGTAAGAGGAATGCCAGCCATGGCATTGTCCCTGTCATGTCATCAGGCAAAACTGACATGTATTGATTGTGGGAGAAGGATAACAGGTTCCAGGGGATCCTGAGCAAGATTCCATTGATCATAAACACCCACTGAAGCATCTAAAACTAAGAGCTCCAACAAATTCAACCGAAAATCAGAAGGTTAGGCTCCACCGTGATAGGAGGTGAAATACACTCCCAAATGAATGAGGTGTTGGGTTGGGATGAGAAAGAACTTTTGTAACCTGACCAGCCAACCCACATGAAAAAGCAGATGTCTGGATGTTGGGGAAAGAGGTATGTGAAGGGAAGTATCCAAGACATTTCACTTTGTCATCCAAAAACACAGAAGTGTGAGGAAAAACTTCATGGTGAAACGATAAATGTTGATGAAATGGTTGAGACAGGAGAGATCCATGACAGGAAGATGGTACCAGTCTACTTGGGAACTATGAAACTGGGAATAAAAACCCCGAAGAAGGGTGACTAACAGGTTTGATAACGTGTTTGCAAAGAAGATCTTGAATCGCTTTGGATAGATGCTGGCAGAAAACTAGATCCTGAGGAAAAAGGAAGAGAATGGTAACACAGCAGGAGAGTCAGAAAATGAAGAAAGAGCCCAGTAGATAACACCTGAAGCACACAAGAAGCCATGGTAAAAGTGCTCTATATGTCAACACACCTGGAAAAAATTGCCCTTACTAACTGTATAGTGATGGATGCTGTTCCAGCGAAGGACCCGGCAATGAGGAATCTGATGGCTAGCAACTGAGATCTGGGAGACAGGTACAGACAGAGGGGAGGAAGGAGGAGGGCGAGATAAAGGAATGGGAGCAGGCAAAGACTGTGAAAGATGAGAGAACATGGATTGAAAGGAGGATTGTTGATGAGCAGCCTCCACCCTGGGCTCTAAAGAGTTAAAAAGATCCCCAAAGACTAGACTGGCATAAAAATGGAGCCATATAAAGGTCACACAAAGAAGGATGTGTAGCACTCCTATTGGTGGAGGGTTGTTGTATGCTTATTTGAATGCTACAGCACATTTATATCACATTTAAACACGTGAGGGTAGGTGGAATATCAAGGCTAGTTGAGAGCAAAATTGCACTGGATGAGAAAACGCTTTTATGTGAGTAGAGGTAAGATATTATATTGGAAAGCAAAGAACTAGCTGACAGGTTGTAGTTAGTGGCTGATGGACTATGTAATTTGATTGACAGATAGCAATACAGAACATTTTTTGAAAATATTTAATGGATTCAAAAAACAATTACCATTCTATTAATTAGCCTATGACAAACTTTAATTGATTTGTTTGATAACTACTGTACATTTCAAATATAAACAAATGGTGAGGATTTTTCCAATTAATGAGAAATTTAGACTTACACAGGATAAAAATAAAATAAAAATCATTCTACACACCAACAATGTGAACAGGCCTCTTTCTTGATTATCAAGTGTCACTGTTCATTAAAATAGAAAACAAAGTGAAAACTGATATAGTGTAATTTTATGCATGAAAGGGCAGTAAAGTTTTTTTACATGCCATTTTAAGGTACAAATGATACGTTATGTTTAAGATGCTACAATATATACCATGACTTCAATACAACTTATTTCATTACTGATATCAAACAAAATAAAAGCTAAGTGCTAACTCAAAAATTAAGATGAGTATCACATATAATATATCTGGGAAACAGTTTAAAGGAAATTCTTATTTTAATTTAAGCAATGATCATTAACTTAAAATTGATATATCCTCATACTGTACTAAGTGACAACAAAAACAGAAAGAAATGGTTTAAGATAAGCTGCATTTGGAAACCTTCTCACAAAATATATAACAAAGAAACCTATAAACAATTTTTCTACTGTACAAACAATTGGACAAAATGTTTAACAACAAAGATAAAATTGAAACATACAGCCACAGCAGTGATTACAAATTAACATGTAAAGACTGCAGTAATGTATAAGTAGGTCAGACAGGATATTCCACAGAAACAAGAGTTAAAGAACATTCAAGAATTTGAAAATTGGAGAAAAATGGACTTAACATTTGCATCACACATTATGGAAGCCAAATACTAACTTGATCTACAAAAAACTGCAAATTTTAATGTGTCTGTGAAAAATTAAGTAACATGGAAATTTTATAAATAAATAAAAGTACAAATCGAATCCAGAGAAGTTCTATATGATCATACCTACTCCTCTCCACTTCTCACCCAACCTGCCTCAGGGAAAATGTCAAAGTTACCTCTGGTTCTTGGGTTAAACATGTACATACCTGTTTACAAGCTAGTTCAGTCTGTACCTGATGATGCTTTTACTGGCAAAACGATGCTTCTAATAAATATTAGGATATGTACAATTGTCTTTGTTTTTCTCAATTCAGTAATAATGTTACTTACTTACTGACTTGTTTTCAAAACTTGGTATCAAAAACAGATTATCTAAATTTGTTTCATGTTTGTGTTTTATCTAAGATGATAATAAAATATTAGTGTCTTATGCCTTCTTGCTAGCATATGCAATAAGGTTGCTTGATTTTGAGAAGAGAATCACTACCTGCCAT